CCTCTGGCCCGAGCTGCTGGTTGGCCAAGAAGGCTGTCCATCATGCAGACCCACCCCAATGACTGATGGAGAGGGGTGGGGCCACACAACAGGCAGGCCTCTCAGCCAATCAGCAGCTAGGGGTGGAGGTGGCAACCATCTTGGCAACCCCTGTCATACTGGCAGCCCTCTTCCTCACCACCCCCATCCATCCCCCAGCGGGCTGCGCAGCTGGACTGCAGCAGCCACAAGGACTGCTGGCTCCCTTTGGGGAATGAGCATTTTATTTTTAGTAAGTATTTTTTTCTCTTTCATAGATTTCATAGACACTAGGGCTGGAAGGGACCCTGGAGGATCATCGAGTCCAGCCCCCTGCCCCAGGGGCAGGAAGTCAGCTGGGGTCATAGGATCCCAGCAAGATAAACATCCAAAAGTGTCTCGAAGGCGTTCAGAGTGGGTGCTTGAACCATCCCCAGTGGGAGTCTATTCAAGACCTTGGGGGCTTGGACAGTAAAGAAGTTCTCCCTTATGTCCAGCCTGAAACGGTCACAGAGGAGTTTGTGACCATTTGATCTTGTCATCCCTTGGGGCGCTCTGGTGAACAGACATTCCCCCAGATACTGGTGGTGACCCCTGATAAACTAATAGGTGGCCACCAGATCGCCCCTGGGCCTGCACTTTTCCAGGCTGAAGAGTCCCATGGCTCTCAGACTTTCATCATAAGGTCTGTTATCCTGACCTCTGATGATGCGCGTGGCTCTCCTGTGGACTCTCTTAAGCTTCTCCACATCCTTTTTGAATTGCGGGGCCCAAAACTGGACGCAGTACTCCAGCTGTGGCCTCACCAAGGCCGAGTACAACAGGAGAACGATGTCCCGGGATTCACTGTTTTCATGGACATTGCCCTATTTCATGGACAATGCCCAGTTTTTGATATTTCCGCAAAATTGCGAATTGAGTGAATCCCTACCTATAAGGAAGTGAGCCCTGATTTCTGGTCAGGGGTGGCACCAGCTTCTTCCTGGTGAGGGGGGCTGAGGTGGGCTAGACAGAAAATTGAGGGGGGCACTGCAATATACATTTTCTAGCCAAACATTTGTTGTTTAACAATACCCACTTTAAACGTGTTTTATCTGTGTTATCCGCAAAAGGATGTTATCCACACAGTCTGTCCTTCCTTCCTTGCCCAGACAAAGGTGGGACACAGGCCCTATGGGCTGGGCAAGGAGTGCCACCCCTCTGCAGGCAGGAGCAGGTTGAACTCAGCTGCACAGGGTAGGCAGCAGTGGCCCAGAGTGGAGGTGCAGGGGGCTTGGACATGGATGGTGCTGGGAGGGGTGGCTACAAGTGGGTTACAGTGAATTTTGGGGTGGCTATAGCCCCCCACAACCCTCCCTAGTGCTGCCCCTGTTTCTGGTGCCTGCTTTTGTGACTTTTATGCACCTTGCATTTAACGTTCATTTGATAACATGTCTAGGGAGCAGTGGGATAGCTTCCACAGAGAGCTGGAACTGAGGTCAGAAACTATGGGAGCCCCTTCCCATCTAAGACAGTTATTTCAAAGCAGGAGTAAACTGAGTGTTTTCCAAGGAAAAGGTAACGGGCATAATTTAGTGAGCAACCAGCCTATTTCAACCTTTAAAAGAGGTTTTATAATGCACATTAGTAGATCTGAATAGCTTTTCTGTCCTTGGAATACACAGGCACTGGAATAATATTCCTTGAAACTGTCAGTCCTGTGAAAAATCTCTTTGGCATACAGACAATAGTATTTTTATTAACTTAAAAATCCCCTTTAAATAAAAGCTAACAATATTTTGAATAAAATCTCATTTATACTGGATTTCAGTATTAAATATATATTTCATTTAGTGACTTGATCTGAAATTGACCTCATCAAATGCTGCTGCTTATGTGCGTTGAGCCCCTAACTATCACATTATGATACAGACATTTAAGTTATGAATTGCTCACTTACTAGCATTCCAGACCTGACCTTGGCCTCTCTGGCTTCATTTTTTAGTATATTTGTTATGCTTCTGTTATCTGTGATTTGCAGTTTCCATGATCTATCTTTGGACTTAGACATAAGTACTATATAATGAAGATATAGTGGCCAGGATTCAGATTTATTGGGCAGTTCTGATATTCAAGTATAAACATGTGGGCTTAACTTTGCTACCAGAGCTGGGTTGTGCGGCTCTCTGAACCTCTTCACATGCAAAAATAGTGTTCTTTGAAAACAGAAAATACAATTGTTCATTAATTGGAAAAGTTAAGATTTTGGTTTAAACTGCATTGTTTACAAAACTTCCCTTGAATCTGACTGTAATTTTTAATGTAAAATTCCTCAGTGGAACAGAATATTTTTGTACAAGTATCTGTAAAGTGGATTCTTCAATACACCTTTATCATAGTCGTTGTCTGCTAGAAAGCTTTCTTAAGGTTAATAAGGAAATGGACATCTACATAATAGCACAAATTTCATTTTGGTCTGAAAGTCATGGCACAAATACTACCAATTGCATCATGAAAAAGATGAGTTATTACAAATTAGCCTTTTAATGACCTACAAAAGATTTTTAACCAAAAAACAGTTGATCATGACTAAACCATCTTAATACTTTCTGGAAATTCTAGGTCTTTCTCGTATCTAGAAGGTGGACAAAGGAACTAGTGCTTTTATTGGTCCTTATCTGGGGTCAGTTTGCCTTTCTCTCCCTAATTTTCTACAGCTTTGTTCTCAAACAGATGAATCTATAAGTTGCTACTCGTCTAGAGAACAGAAATGAGGAAATATTGTTCTGCAATTTTATAGCAACCACTAGGGGTTGTCCCATTAGTACAGAAGTTATTTTAAAGCATAATACACTGACCATGATTTTTCAGATAGGACTATTGATTTGTGGTATATAACTTGAGACATAGTGAAGGGAACAGATTTTCAGGAACTACAAACTGCTCTTTCATTTTAAATGAAACCAATTTTCAGAGGATTTGGTTGAGCAATCAAAATTAGTAGGCACTTCTGAACATGTTGGCTATTTTACAGTTGCTGTGTATGATGTATGTCTTGGTGGAGTTGAGCAGTTAACTTTTGGTCTATGTTTTATATTATAATATCTCAGGTTAGAGGAAGTAGGACTGAAAGATAGGTCTGACTTCAGAGTGAAACAGGTGCTTCTATTCATGTTCCTCAGAGTTGGTTATAGCAGAATTATGTTATAATCTTACTATATGCACCTTGTTTTTAGCCTTGATAGAGCACAGTTTTTTCACTTTATGAGCATACCGTTTGGCCATAGTTATAGAAATGAGAACAAAGCATGATTTAGTCACAACAGTTGTTTAACTCACTGGGTGGGATTTGATTTACATTACAATAACTGTTGTGACTTTACTGAGTTTTCTTGATTTATGTTGGTGAAAGTATAAGAAGAAACATTCTCACTTTTAGAACGGTGCCACATCGTTAGATACAGAACTCTTGTTTATTGCAACAAAGCATTTTGGAGCTGTATGGTGGGTGGCCTTTAGGAATGTGCACTTCTTTCGTAGTTGTGAGGAGTGGATGAAGAATGGGATTTGCAAGAAATTGCCCATCAGCTATAAAGATTTTGGGTAACCGAATGAGGGAAGGAATATATGATGAGGATAACTATCTGGGGGGATGGGCCATAATTTTAAAACACAAGCAGTATGGCTAGACCTGAATTTTGTCAGATGGCAGAAACGAAAGTTTCTTTGACAGAAAGAGGCTGCCAAACAAAAGAAATTGGCTATCATTTAAATTAAGGTCTGTTGTATAACAAAAATATTTTATCCCACAATGAATCTATTTTTCCTGTGCTAGTTATAAGGAGCTCCTGAAATGCTCAACAACTATATCTTTTCCTCTTTCTTTTCTTACAGTGGCTCACTGTCAGATAAACGATTTTTGTTTACCTCAAATGGTAAGAAAAATTACTTTATTTTAGCTATTCAAGTTTACAGTTGTTTCCTTGTAAAAGATTCTAAAATAACCTAAAAAAATGTCATACTACATATAATGTAGATACTTTTAGGATAGTAGCTTCCTGCCTGACTGTTGTCATAGTGGATCTAAAGCTTGTGATTGTGGAAAAGAAAAAGCCAGGAATAGGACGAATCCGTGTGGTTGAGAAGCAACAACAATGAAATTGTGATATTACATTTCTGGGGCTGCTGGGGAAGACAGGGGAGTAATGCTTCTGTTTTCATTGTCCTTAAGATGATAAAACATGAAAGCATTTTTTTTCAAGGCATGCTTAAATGTATTTTGTCTTCATGGCTTCAACAAGAGAAAGTATGTGTATAAGTAAATAAAAATAGTTCATATCACACTACTATAGAAAACAGGAGCTTTTTTATGACCTTCCTTAATATAAAATAATATTTAATTCTGCTTTTATATTTATATAGGACTTTCTTTTAAGGATTTTTTTGCTTTACTTTGTTTTTTGTTTGGTTTAAATTTGCATTTGAACATGATGAAAGCAAGGGAAAAATCTTGGTCCACTACTGAATTATATTTTAATCTCTTTAGGTGAAGTCATTATATGTGTATGAAACTGTAAAACATAATGAGTCCCATGAAATGCTGTGGAATGACTTTTAACTTCATATATTACACTGTTTGCTAGTTCTGAAACTACAATACATTGGCTTGTTTTCATGGAAAATATGCATGTGTAGAAATTCTGTTGGCTCCCTAGTAGAGTAATTGCTCACTTGCAGCTATTTATCACGGTGGTATCACCTCTTTTAACTAGTTTCAAGAACCCTCTCCAACCCAGCTAATTTGAATAAACTTTAACTATTGGTATGAACAATGAAATATTTACACTACAACGTCTCCCCCTCACACACACAGCATGTTTCTGTTTCCCAAAGATCATTCTTTACAGCGGACAAATGCAAACGTCAAAACATGATTTCAAAGGAAAAGCTTGAAAATGTAGGTCTGATACAAATCAGTATACATTGGAACACAGTGTTATATAGTTTTGGAGAAATGACAAGCCAAATGCAAAAATGGTGAAGACAAATTATAGCAAACAAGACCAGTGTCAGAGGTGATTGTGTGTACATGTCTATGTGAGAAGCTAGGGAGGTGACTATAATTATCTGATATTAGATTGCATGCTCTGAATTGACTGGCAAACAGTGACTAGTGAATGGTAGCAAGAGAGACAGAAAGAGTAAAACAGATAGAAGAATAATGTGCACTGATTATTGTAGGGAGCAGGGGGACGGAATTGGGCGGATTATTGACCTAAAATAAAATATGCTGGGAAAATGTCAGTTGATGCTTCTGTTTCTCTCTGTAATGGAATTCTTAGGCTGCAATAAATCCCTGAGTCTGGAAGATGGATTCCTCTTCCAGACCCATATTACTGCGTCCTCCTCCTGGAAAGAAATCAGTGAATCTGGGGAAGTTGTTCACTGGTCTCCTGACAAGGCTTGGTTCGAAGTGCAACGGTTGTCTTGGGCTTCTAATCACAGCAGCCAACAGGAGTGGTTAGAAATAGACCTGGGAGAGAAAAAGAGAATAACAGGTAAGTTGTGTACTTAGTAACATTGGGTGGCTCTTCTGCTGGGGCTATAAATTAAGTACATCTGACATGTACATAGTTACTAGAAATGGCATGATGTCAAAATGTAGCATTTCTATTCATTTGCTTATTAAAAGCAATCAAACATCCTATACTTTAACACAGTTTGGTGGTTTAGATATTAAGAATGTTTAGTTATTGTTGAAACTAGACCTCCAACTTGACAGTGATGAGGTATTTGATGTACATGGAGTACTGGATTGGGCTGAGCTATCCTGTCTCATGCTGCGTCATATCAGTGAGCTACAAACAGTATGTTGTGGCTCTGCAAAATATTTTGCACAATCAGTAATTAGTTGAGCTGTTGTGTCCATTAAACTGTAAATGTCATCTTGGGTGTTATTTATGATGCACTTCATTTTATACCTAAACCAGAGCCATTGAAATGATGATACGGATGAAAGAGACTTCAGTTGCCAATTCATGTAGTCTTAAAATGTAAATTACTGTTACTTGGAAAGTTTTAAAGACTGCCATGATGGGCCATAATCTCTAAAAGCTATTGTCATTTTGGAGTCATTGATCTGGTTACCTTTAAAATTCTATACCATCTATTTATATAAAGAGAATGAAATTTACAGTATAACACTAACTTATGAATCTGACTTCTCCCTTCCACTTCTTACCCTGTGTAGAACTCCAGATTTGCTCTGAAAAATAAATAAATAGCTGTTGTAGATGCAAATATCCATTTGTTTTTAATGTATTTACATATGAATTTTCATTTGAAATGTTCCTTTAGGAAAAAAGCTCATACATGAACACTTTGTTTTTCTCTTTCAAGGGATTAGGACCACAGGAACCACTCTGCTGAATTCTGACTTTTATGTAAAGACATTTACAATGAATTATAAAAATAGCAACTCAAAATGGAAGATTTACAAGGGAATACTGAGCAATGAAGAAAAGGTAAAAGGAGATGTGCAGGGAGCAAAAACACAAAAGAAAGGGAATTTTAAAAAAAATGCCTTAAAATGACTTGACATTCAGGGACAGACTTTCACTGTAAAAAAGATTCACTACATCAGCAGAGTACATTAGTGCAGTTACAGTGCTGAAGATTAACCAAATCTATACAAGCCTGTACCACTAATCTACTTGGCTTGTCTAAACAGTTACACTAGGTAAACTGAAGTTGTGATTTCTTTCTTTTCTTTTTTTTTCTTGGAGCTCATTTAGCTAAACTGAATTTGTGCAGAAAACTACTTAGACACACTCTATTAAAATTTAGCTTAATGCCAGGCCTACAAAGGAGTACTTCATTAGTATAGCAATGTTGGTATAGTATATTCATAAACTACACTTTGTACAAAACTAGAAATATACACAAGCAAGCCAAGTCATGAGGATAAAAGTGCACTTTTGCCAACATGACTTGTCTGCAGTATGTCCTTCTGTTGACACAGCCATGTCAGAGAAGGATTATGCCCCTTCACCTACCTGACCAAGATAATTCTGCCATCACAGATCTAACGGTATAGATACACATCACAATTACTAAAGAAAAACAATCACCCTGCACTTTACTCGGTAGTAAAAGTACTCTGTAGTAAGGAGCAGACATTTGGTCTGCTTTTCCAAAATGCCTGCGCACAGTAGGCACCACAGAGCCTGAACAAACTGGAGGAACTAGTTTGTACTGAGGAAAGGGGCTATCCAGGGATGACATTGGTCATGTGTCTATTCCACTAATTAAGACATCTGGATAATTTGCACCTGTGTTAAGTTATGCCGCACTTCCTGAGGTATAACTTTAACATGTACAGGATCAATTTATGCTGGCATAAGGCTATGTCACCATGTGTCTGCTTCATTTGTGCTACAGAGTAATGTCAGTTTACTCCACAGTAAGCATATTGTGAGCCTGTAGCCTAAGTATCAGGAACTGATTTAACTAAAATGAAATAAATACTCGTAAAGCAAAATAAGAGCCCTTACAGTGGCTTTCAATATATTTGGCTTAAATTGCTTTGATAGACAAATTAGTGACAGTTTCTCATAAAGACAAGGCCTGAGTTAGAAGATTGCACTGGTATAACAACACTGAGTTTCCTTGACCATCCTCCAGGGCTTAATAGTTACTGTGACCATTACTTCGAAAGGAAATTATGAAGCATGTCTTGGGGATCAGGTTCCAAGTGCTCTTTGATCTTCAGTATAACCAAAAACTTTCTCTAAAGACTAGGGGAGCTGATTTTGAAGACACTACTTACAATCCCAATTTTTCTGTACTTCACTGCACCATGTGGATTTAATATGTTAGAATTACAGGATTATTGCCTGCAGACTGAAAAATGAATGCAGTAGTGGCTGAATTATGAAACTAAGGTATTTAAAATGGTCTGCTTTGCATTCTTCCACCATGGTAGTTCTTCACAATTTAAAGAGTTGATTTGAATGTATTTGGGATTTGCTTTGTTTTTTTTATTTCACATGAAGCAAAGTCTCAGTTTACAACTGATCCACGTGACTTGTAATTAAAAAAACAAAAAAACCCTTATACAAAGCTATACTTGATCTGAGCCCATGAATCGTATGCCAGACAAACTAACGCTGTGAGGATGCCTTATGTGATTTTCATTTAAGCTAATAAGAGTTCATTGTGAGAATGGCTCAACAGATCACCAGTTATTGGAAGTATAGTGAAAGGGACAGTCAAACTCCTTCAAGTGTTTTTAAAGAAAAATTATTTTGCAAAAGATAAAATACTTTCATGATTTGCTGTCAGTAAAACCAATTTCTAATTTGTTTTTGTTTTTTGTTGACTGGAGAGGCATTTGGGTATGAATATTTGTAACGTAACTGCTGCATCCTGGGAACTAGCTAGAAAGTTAAATCCAAACTGAAACAAAAGTGAAGGTGCAAAGTCTTATTTCTTTCCTTATGCTGAGTTTAAGTGCAAAATGTGAACGTAAGTAGGAAAATGTGCATTTCTTTTGAAATTCTTATTGTAAAATCTTAAGATTATGACACAGGTTTTAGACATATTTGTAAATGAGTTTTGAGTTGACAAGTCTCACTCTTTAAATTTGGAAGATTGGAGGAAACAAGGGGAAATCAAACTTTTAAAATACAGCTAGTAAGACTTATTGTGCTTATTTATTTATTTTTTATGTATTGTAGGTGTTCCATGGTAACTCCAATTTTGGAGACATTGTACGTAATAATTTTATCCCTCCTATAGTAGCCCGTTATGTACGGGTGGTTCCACAGACCTGGCACCAAAGAATAGCCCTGAAGGTGGAGCTGATTGGTTGTCGAATAATGCAAGGTATGGGGTAAGCAGTACTTCTGGCATCTGAGCCTGGTGAGGCAGTGGACCCCCAAATTTCACAATTACGCCATAGTTCACCAGTTTTCACTCTTATTTTCACAGTGAACAGCTCATTTACTCATTCAATGTGGCAAAGACCAAGTCAAAATACAGATGCATCAATTGGAAAAGAAGATAGAACTGTCACAGAACCTGTCCCATCAGAAGAAACTAACTTAGGTAATACTAAAATGGTATAATCCCTCTAAAATATGCCATCACCTTGTCATGTCCACTCCTTGTTTAACACTTCCCAAAAACAAGGTGTTACCTTCTCATTACTTTCCACAAAGTCAGGTGGGGCACAAGTGCCCTTCACTTCTTTATAAAGCATAGTGGCTCAAAAGCTTTAATTTTATTTGATTGCTTCAGGGGAGGCAGTATCTGATAATTTTTGTGTTTGTGTTCTTTGGCACACTCAAAAGTAAATTGGGAATGTATTTTAGCCTGTTGTTAAAGAGGTGCAGATGTGAAGAGTTTATTTTCCACCATGTTGCATGTCAAATGTTTTCCAGTTTAATTTTAAATTGAGATGTAGGCTCTTAAACAATTTAAATAAAAATAATTTCTCCTTTCACATTTTACTTCCTTTTGATATATAATGTCATGAATTTACCTGTTTGTTAGTTGTCAGTAGAATTTTCCTGAAAAATTAGGTAGACAACGTCTTAGTTCCTAATGAAAAAAAAAGACATGGAAAAGGACTTAGAAAATATAAACAACTTCCAGATCATCAGAGGTAAAATGGGTATAAGTCCAATTTTTCTGTGGAGGTCACTCTTTTGACCTGCATTGTCATGAAGTATGTGACTGACTGTGATCTTTGGAGAGAAATAAAACCCATTTGTTTTATTGTAGCAATTCTCAACCAGGGTGCCAAGGCTGCAGGCTGTGAAATAACTGTTAGGCGTGAAACACCTATACACAGTTCATGAGATAAACCATGAGATTTAAAGTAGGAATCCAGAGTGTCAAAAACATTCTGATTTGCTTGCTGTACTAGTTTTCTGTAGTCAAGAAATAAGGGCGCAGACAGAAGTGACAATTTTCACTCTGGCCCCAGAAAGTAGTCTACAGCCATGACCACACAGAAGTACATGGCTAACAGACTGCTTTAAAAGGGCCCAATCCTGCAAAAATCTGAACCCTCGTTGCATGAGGATTCAGATGAACACGTTTCATAATGGAGTGTGTACCACAGAGTGCGTTTTGTAACTAGTGTCTGTGGAGCTCCCAGTATGTTGCTATTTTCCAAATGGGAGGGGGGAAAGGGAGCAGAGGTTTTGGGGTCTTTTCAGCCAGCTCTGGAGAGTGGGGCAGGTGTATTGGAGTCCCCCACCTTGGGAATAAGGTGGGCTCCAATTCACCCGCCCCACCTTCCAGCGCTGGCTGGGGAACCCCAAGAGCAAGCTCCCTCTGTTTCATTTTCCCCCCTCCCATTCTGAAAAGTGCCCCAGCTGGGAGTGAAGGGTGGCATTGCTATGGAGACTGGGCTGCAGGCTCCAGCAAGCAGCTGGGAAGTCCAACTCCCAGACCCAACAGCAAACTTCTGTTGGATCCAGGGGAAGGTTGCAACTCAAAGTACTTCCTATAAAGTACTGAGTTGCAACAGGGAGCTGCCTCTTCTGTCTGTGCCTTAAGTGACAGCTAAGAGCTGGCATCTCCCAAAGGGTGCCTTGAGTCTAACAAGTTTGATAACCACTGTTTTAATGGTATCTTTGCAAAAGATCAACTCCTACATCCTTATCCAGTGAAAAGGAGTGATGGTACTCACTCAATGAGCAGATATTCATAATTCTGTTTTTATCCTTGCTGTTCAATGGCTCTCCCCAGACCTTATTCCCCCACAGATTTTACTATCGTTTTCATTGCAATAGTATCCAAATGCATCAAACATGAATCTATCATCACAAAACTCTGTAAGATGAAGAGGCAACATCTCTGTTTTACAGTCTGAGGCGCAGTGATTAAGGCCAAATACATATATTAATTTGGGGTACCCATAGGAGATGCTTTTATTTTCAGAGTACTTTACCATTCTATAGCACTTTGTATGTTCAAAGCACAACTCTTATTGTCTTTAGTTGTAGTTGTGTATTCAACACTTCTGCATTTTGGACTCCAGAGTCTCAAACTGGGGATCCAAAAATTAGTAACCATTTGTGAAGTCTGGTTTAAATAACTGGCTCAGCATTGCATAGGAACTCTGTGGTAGAAACAGACCTTTAATTTCCTTCACACTTTTCACCTTCTGCAGCAAATTAAAAGCCATATACATAATCACCTTTCACTGTACAATCCTGATTCATCTCTTGAGCAGGTCCCTGCCTGCTTCAAATAAGGCATACAGTTGACCAACATGTGGTTTACCCACAAGGTTAGAACTTTTTGCCATCCCTAGGAAACACCACTCAAGTCTGGCTAAGCCATTCCATTTGAACTAACAGTAACTGATAATAATAGGAGATTGTCCTTTTCTGCATAGATCAGCACTTACAAAAACAGACCTTGTAAATCTTCATGGCTCTTGGCTGGACCATTCTTACTCTCTGTAGAGATGGCATATGCTCCGTCTGGTCAACATTAAAAGCTGTGAGAGGCTTAAACATGTTCAGTGAGGGTGAAATCTTCTGGGGATTTAGCTGCTAAAATCTCATCTCTGAGCGTGCATGACCTGCAGTTTTTAACTGTGAAGGTGTCAGGTAACCTAAACAACAGGCAACACTGCCAGCTTCATCTCCAATAAGAAAGATTTCTAAAGAAGGATGTGTGCAGATTTTGAGTCAAGCACAGACCTAAAGAAAATGGGTTTAACTCCTTCAGCATCAACACTGCTGCATGTGTTTAGCTCAAACCCTGTTGCAATATTGGATTTTTTTCTTTCTTGTGCGCTGTTACAGAATCAGGAGTTTTTGGCCTATGTTCATTTTTAGCATGCTGACCATAGTAAAAACATATCCAGCTTTGGGTAACGGTACCTTGCAACTTTCTTTCCCTGCAGGTTTAAAACTTACAGCTATCATTGTCCCAGTCCTGGTAGTGCTGTGTTTGTTCCTATTTGGAATGTGCATCTATATGACCATATGCAAGTAAGAGGCTTCACTTTTTTCTTATATAAAGCAGGATAGTTGTAGTTGTGTAAATCACACTCCTGTTTGCACACTCCTCATTCAGTCCCATATGCCAGCAGTACTTCCTTGAGGCTGGAGCTTAGCATTGTTTGAAAACTTTTCCTTTAAACAGAAACTCTCCTTTGGTGTCATGTAAACCGTGTTTCTCAGTCAGTCGCATCCAGAAGTGATGTAGGATGGAATTCCTTATGCTAATATAGATTCCTCAGCCTCTCTGCCTCCACCTACTGGGATATAAATGAATCTAAGATGGTATAAGATCCACACGGAGGAGTCAGAGGGGGTGGGAACAATTTTAGCCATGTTATGCCACTCCCCTGTTGTTCCTCATCCTCTGCTTGTCTCTACTAATCGCTTTACAAAGAAGTCACAGCAGCTGAGAATTGGTGGGCCAAATTTAAAGCATATGTTGGTGAGTGAGTAAATCTAAGCCACTGTCCCACCTTTTGTTGAGAAAGTTGAAAGGAGGTGAATTTGATCAACTTTGACTCCCTTTACACAATTTTCATTTGAACTTGTCAAACAACTTCGACCAGGGGATAGAAATGTTCGTATCACCAGATGGAAATTTGGGAGAGTGATATCAACTCACCCTAACGAGGGCTCAGATCTCTCCGGAGCATCTACTACAAACTCTGTAAACTATGCAAAATTGTATAATAATAATCCATGCATACAGCCAAGAGGATAATGTGTGGACTGGCCTGCCATTCTCCAGCATAATTTGCCAACCTAAATTGCAGGAGTTTCAATTGCAGTGCCTAATGTCTTGAATGGACATGGGAAGAAACTCGGTTTAACCATTCCGGTTTATAAGTCCTACATTCAATAAACCACATCATCCACAAATTAAAAGAGCATGACAGTTCTCAGCTGGCAAATATGATAGTTCTCTCCACCAAAGCTAAGGCATGAAGATGAAATGCTGTGAGTGACAGACACTTACAAAAACATTCTTCTCCTTACAGGAGAGAAATAAAAGGAGTTGCTTATGGCTTATCTGATGCTCAGAAACCAGGTTAGTGGAAAATCATACTTCTATTCTCTTCTTTGGGGGAAGCAATAGAAAGGATTGAGCAATTAATACCAACTGCATTGTGTTTTAATTCCTCCTCATTTAATTTTTTTTATATTAAATTTGCCCTGTTCACCAAAGAATAGGTCAAATGAGACCACTACTAGTCTTACCTCGACAGCACCTACAGAGTTAAAATGATGTGGTTTTCACAACAGAAATGTACTTAACAAGTGAAAAATCGTGTCCTAAGTTATTTTACCTTAGTGCTTTTTTATCAAAGAAATTAACCACACTGAAACAGATTGCTCCTTCCCAGCCTCTTCCCTATAGTACAGGGAACAGTCACTCTCCAAAGACGCCCTGAGACAGAGGTTTTGATATGTCTTTGTGTTTCCTCCTCCTGCCCCTCAGTGTGATTTACAAAGCTCAATACTGAACTGTACTTTGTTCATCAAATCTGAACTGAACATTGGCTGGGAGATTTTGCTCTGAAGGTCGTTTGCAGAAACATTTAACATTTCACACTCCTTTAGCTCAGTTGATTAGGCTTTCTAGAGTGGGGCTAGGCTTGGCAATCTGGATCCAGCTGCTGTTTAGCATACACTCCTGTCAGTTATATGGAGGAACATCCCTCTGAAGTATAATTCTGTTTAAGAAAGGCAAGACTCAGTTGTCTGAAGGAATCTTGAAAACAGACCAATGCAGAATATGTTTTTCTCAACAGGTCCTAAAGTTTATACTTGTTAATAGAGGGAAGGCACAGTCACTGAGCTTGTCTTCCTTAGAAATTTTCATTTAACAGCATGTTTGTCAAGTCAGATGAACAAGCCTGAGCCCTAAAACAACTTCCATTTCTAATGAAGACAAGACATATAAAACCAGAGATCTGCTTGCTTAAGTCAGTTTGCTCTCCCTTCCGCATTCCATAAATCCACCTCCTAAATGCCAAGAGAAAGCTTAGTTTCATAATAAAGAACAAGGCTGAGATGTAGGAGATCTGAATACAGTTTCCAGTTCAGCTACAAACTTCCTGGGACACTTCAGGCAGGTCGTTTAAACAGTGATTGTTTTCCCACTTACAGATTTCCTGCCTCACCAGAGAGTTGTGATGGCAAATTAACTGATCTGTCTTAGGCATTCTGATGCTGTGATAATGGGGACCCTACTTGGAAACCAAAACAGAAGGCTGTTCTGAAGGGTTATAAGCATCTTGTTTTTACCATAGAAATGACAGTCAGTTAGTTAGTTAGCTTAATAAAACCTGTCATTTCTGTGGTATTCTCTGTAAATTAACTGTCAAACACAAACACCCTGTTGCCAGTAACTACACAGTTTGAGCCCTTCTTGTCAAGAAATGCAGAGAGGAAACACATTTTTAGTAATATTTATTTTTTTCCTTAAAACAGCTGTTGATTTGATATTTCCCAATGATTTACAAGCAGTGTGGTTTTTTGCAGTTTATTGTTACTACCTCAAAATACTAACAACAGCGTCCACATGAAGAACTTGACTTTCTGATAAGTTCCAATCAACATATTTTAAAGTCAAATCACTCTTTAAAATTTAATGTCTTCTACTTTTATTTCTTTATTCAAGGTTGTTGGAAACAGATCAAACAGCCTTTTACTAGACATCAGTCAACTGAATTTACTATCAGCTATAACAATGAAAAAGAGACACCGCAAAAGCTGGATCTGGTCACAAGTGATATGGCAGGTAACAACTGTGTCCTCTTTGGTGCATTTATTTTGTTCTGGGTGTGTAGCATGTAATGGCAAGAGGGGCAGGTAAAACCTGTTAAAGCAAAGCTCTAGCAAACCGCACACAGTGGGATACAGGAGCTGATTTAGATACCCCCATGCCATTGAATGAGTGAGACAGCAAACCATCCAGGAGATTTTTTTTTTTAATTTTTTGAGGTATTTGTTAACAATTTCCTTTAAGGACATTTCTCCTTGTAAAAAAGTCAGAGTTTAGGACAGGGGCTGGCTGAGCAAAAGTGATTGCCTGGAACTGAGGTTAGGCATTTCTTTCATTCCTCGTGATGGTATACTCCAAATAGAAATCAGTCACTTGAGGTTTTTAATCTCAGACTCCTATTAAGTGAATTCACAGTTGACTCAAACCACTACTTGTATGTAGATTATTATTGAATTGTTAATGTTTCCCTCTCAGATTATCAGCAACCTCTCATGATTGGAACTGGGATGGTAACACGAAAAGGATCCACTTTTAGACCAATGGACACAGAGGATGAGGAGAAGAGAGGTAGCACAGAGATTGTAAACCACTATAGCTGCCCACACAGAGCTAGCCGCCATGAATATGCCCTGCCCCTGACCAGTCAGGAGCCTGAATATGCCACCCCTATTATAGAACGGCATGCTGGAAGAGAAAAGGCTTTTCCCTCTGAAAATGGCTACAATGTGCCTGTCATCTCTTCAGCTCATAAACGTTCCCTTTCTGCTGGCAGCTTCTCTAACCCATGTAGGTCTGACACCAGGAATGGGGATTATCAAACCCCACAGAATCTGACAAACTATGATAAGCCTAAAGCTAAGAGCATCTTGACCTCTGTGAGCTATAGCACTGACTATCAGAAGCCACAAACTAATTCGCCAGTGAATGAGGGTTACTCAACACCCAGAGACTCTCTGAAGCCAATAAACCAGACAGCCATGACAGCTCTCTTGTGATCTACTGAGCAGAGCTATTTGCTGCACTAGTGAAGAGAATGCTACTACTGTACAGCTTCCAGAATGAAAAGATGTACATCATTGTTTTAAAGGATTCTCCAGTGGAAACTAGAAGAGAGACTGAACTCGTGCACATAATTTTGAAGACAAAAGTACACTGATAATCACTGTTTAATATCAGTGAAGACTGCACATTTATCTTCTGTGATGGATCCCAGAATGTGATCCACGTGCAATATGTGCAATTTGTACATAGTTTTTATTTAAGAAAAATAACTTAAGTTTTCTTTAATATGTTCTTTAATATGTGGAATTCAAATAGAAGAAATATCTGTTACAGAAATTTCTGTAAAAAAAATGCTCACCAGAACTTTCTTTTATCTGCTGTTGTGTTAACAGTTTTTAAAACTGTCATTCTCTTGTTTGGGTGGTTTATTTTCCTGATTGTGGTAGCTGGAAGTAAAGCGTTGTATTCTTCTGGGAAGGGCAAAAGAAATAAAACTACTCAAAGCATAGAATACTCACAAGAGAATAGCTGAGCAATTGCATATGATGTTCAACCAAATTTATCAGCTACCTTTTTTACAGCAATCGTTACAAGCTTGAATTTGGTTTCATGCTAGGATGTGATTTGAGCTAGTTACGGTACAGAACAGTGGAAAAGACTAGGCTTGGTTCAAGCATTATGTGTCTTGCTGTCATGATTGCTATGTAACCTCATCTGTTGGAATATACAGAATCGTTTATTCATCTGTTTTTTTTCAGTGGAGCCAAAATGTGAATTACAGCAGAAAACTGCCTTCAGATCAGTCTGTAACTGGCAATATTATTATGATGCTGATAGAGAACAAATTTCTCCATGATAGGTGATGTGAATTCAGAATGTTTCATTGCACTCTCAAGTATTTTTTGTAAATTGAGTGTTTCTCCCTACAGCCATGCGGCATTGTTTTATACCAAAATTATATGGTAAAAGGCCAAGAAGTTCTAGGCTTCTGGGAAAGGAAAAATACTCTCTTATTAAGGCAAAACTAGGCCGCTAAATCTGATTTCTCTTAACAGCTCTGTGGGCAAGTCATTTATTCTATAGAGTTACAGAAGGGGAAACTGAGTAAAAGGGGAATATTTCCAAGCCTCATAATGAGGATAAATTATAATAGTCTTGTAAAGCATCTTGAGGTTGTTTGCTGGAAGGTGCTGTAGAAGTACAGAGTAGATGTATACTGTTAATTCTGGTTCTATATGGTCTTAAAACAGACTTAAGAGAATTTTGTGCTTGTTTCACTCTGTGCATGTTTTGCAAACTCTATGGGTGCACTTATTTTCTCCTGGTGCTGAATTTAGAAATGTGGAGGTAATTGTGTGTGTGACTCCTGTGCACATAATATTGCAATTCCATATGTACAGACATTTGAAGACAAGAGTACGCTGGCAATCCCCCTCTACAGCAAGGGAATTATTATCAGTAAAGACTGCACATTTATTTTCTGTAACTGATCTCAGTGCTGTGCAAAAAGCAAAAAGTCAATGTGATTATGTCACCTCTTGTGTTACTGTAATATAGTTTCTGTGAAATGTATGAAACACCTCAGGCACTGAAGTGAAGCTGCAGCAGCCTATGTGCTAGACTGCTCTGGGTGGTATTGTTTACTTCTGGCTGTTTACATGCAGGTGTAAATAAAGGACACTGGCATTCGGTAACTAAGTCATGGATGGCTGGAGTCTAGCTCAGTTTTATCGGCACCACACGCCCACTCTATTACATATCCTGCAGGATGTGAAATTGGACAATCAGCCAGAAAGCAGTGTTCCTTATGATGTGCAAAAGTGACAGCTGTGCTGCTGTTATTTACATTTCAAATGTGATTTAAAAGGCCATGCTAAAAAAAAAAGCTTATCACTATGTTCCATTTAATCTGTTTTTTTTTTATTTGAAAGGAAGAAACAAAGGCTAACCTCCAGGCTGGCCTTGTATAAATGAATAAGTGAGAAGACCTCCCCCCCCCGGCACACACACACATGCACCCCATCAGTGGGCACATCTATGTGTGCGGTTATTGTGCCTGAATAAACACCAGTGCAATTTGCATCAGAGTTTATCGCTCCCAGGTGTAACATTTACATGTGCCCAAGACCCCAGCAGGTTGAGGCAGGGCAGTGCATCCCCAGCTGGCAGGGACCCCAGGGGTCACCCTGCAAGCCCAGAGCTGCTCCACCTTGGCTCAGTGTGCTCTGGAGGGGGCTGGCTGGGGCACAAGGGTGCTACAGTGCGGAGCTAGCCAGCAGGCAGGCCCCACACTAGCACCCTCATGCTGTATCCAGCCATGGTCACAATCTATGTGTGTATTGCAGCAGAGTAAACAACTGCATCATAGGATAGTACTTGTGTCAGGCCGTACTGTCCTATGGCAGAGTTAATTAATTTACTCTGGCCTAAAGCACTGCACATATAGATGGTGATGCTTTACTGCGGAACTAATTAATCAACTCTGCAGTAAAGTGCATGTGTAGATGCTCTCAGTGTGTGGTATTGGCACTCTGCCTAGATGGATAAATTAGCCTGACTTGATACTCCATAGTTTCTAGGGCCGGAAGGGACCTGAGCAGATCATCTAGTCTGACTCCCTGCCATGGCAGGAAATAGTACTGGGGTCAAATGACCCCAGCAAGGTGTTCATCTAACCTCCTCTTAAAAACCCCCAGGGTAGGAGCCTGTATCACTTCTCTTGGAAGTTGGTTCCAGACCCTAGCCACCCTGACCGTGAAGTAGCGCCTCCTGATATCTAGCCTAAACCTACCCTCTGCCAGCTTGTGCCCATTATTCCTGGTCACTCCTGGCAGTGCACGGGGGAATAGTGACTCCCCCAATGCCCTGACTAGTTTATAACAAGCCACTAGATCCCCCCTCAGCCTTCTCTTGTGGAGGCTGAACAGGTTCAGGTCCCGTAGCCTCTCCTCATAGGGCCTGCCCTGCTGTCTCCTGATCACATGAGTGGCCCTCCTCTGGACCCTCTCCATGTTGTCCACATCCCTCTTGAAGTGGGGCGCCCAGAACTGGACACAGTACTCCAACTGCGGCCTGACCAGTGCCGCATAGAGGGGGAGGATCACCTCTGGACCTGCTCGAGATGCATCTGTGGATGCATGACAAGGTGCGGTTGGCCTTCCTGACTTCCTCCCCACACTGCCAGCCCATGTTCATCTTGGAGTCAATAATGACTCCAAGATCCTTTTCCGCCTCTGTGCTGACAAGAGGGGAGTTCCCTAACCTGTAGGTATGGTGCCGGTTGTTCCTCCCCAGGTGTATCACCTTGCACTTGTCTGTGTTGAATCCCATCCTATTCTCATCCGCCCACCCTTGTAACCTGTCTAGGTCTGATTGTAGCCTGTTGCTTCCTTCTAGTGTGCCCACATCCCCCCACATCTTAGTGTCATCAGCAAATTTGAACAGGGTGCTTTTTACCCCCTCGTCCAAGTCACTGATGAAGATGTTGAACAGTGCGGGCCCGAGGAGCGAGCCTTGCAGAACCCCACTGCCCACGTCCTTTCAGGTTGAGAAGGACCCATCCACCACCACTCTCTGGGTGCGGCCCTCCAGCCAGTTGTCAACCCATTTGACTGTGTGGGTGTCGACACTGCAGTCCCCCAGTTTCTTAATGAGAACGGGGTGAGAGACAGTGTCGAAAGCCTTCCAGAAGTCCAGGAAGACTATGTCCACTGCTACCCCTGCATCTAATGATCTGGTGATCTGATCGTAAAAGGCCACCAGGTTGGTCTGGCAGGACCTGCCACTGATGAACCTGTGTTGGTTGCCCCTAAGCAGGCAGTCCCATGAATTGTGCTCCATAAACGAGCACAATTCATTAATCAGGCCAGCTCCAATTAAGGATAATGGGCATCTTCAAGGTAACTGCCACACTATCTTTTAGGTTCCTAGTCCCTGGAGCTGACTTCAAAACCCATAGTTAAGTGCCCAGACTTGCCATATGGTATGTGGGGAGAGCTGAGCACCTCTGAGGGGTGAACCAAAGACATCCTCACTGATTCAGCTACCTAGAGCTGAAACACTGCCATACTCGAACAGGGAGCGTTGAGCCTAGGCTGCAAGGAAGACAACCCATACAGATCAGATCCAAAGCCCTTCCCTAAAGGTAAGCATCTAGAAGTATCCTTTCAAAGAACTGGAAGCTTATTCTTGAGCAGCTGTCAGAGGAGGAGCAGGAAGTGGAGGAGGAGGAGATGCCCATCTTTTATATAATAGACCAGTGGTGAGAACACTCACTGAAGAAGTGTGAGGCCTGGTTTCAGGCCCTCCTCAGTTTGAGGGGATTTAAACTTGCTCCTACTTCCCAGGACAGTACCCTGACCACCATAGGCCAGGTCTAGGTGAGTGATCATTCTCTGTGCATCCTGCTAAAGCTGAACTATCAAAATCATAGGGAGAGAGGAGTAGTAAGAAGAGGGAGCATGACTATAGCCTAGTGACTGGGACACATGGAAATCCTGGACTCCAATGCCTGCTCTCAAGATTGTTTATTATACATTAAAGAGTCATTGAATGAAAAACAGAAATAATAGTAGCATCCAGGACCACTTCTCTCTCTCTCTCTCTCTCTGGCAATGCTTTTGAATAAATGAGATGCAGATGATGTGTGTTCTGCTCAACTCAGTAATGTTTGTGGATATTTAGGCAGTTTTTGATGGATCAGGGCCTGCAGGCATCCCTCCTGAATTTCAGGATCCAAATGGGGCTTAGCCAAGAGCTAGACATCTGGTAGCTGAGAGTCAAGCAGGTCTAGGTATGCACAGATGCTTAGGGAAGTTTCAGACCAAGAAGGGGGAACCTAACAACTATAGGCACCTACAAAGTTAGGCAGCCATTAGGCAGAGATCTTGGGGATCACTGTTTTGGACTTAGGAGGGTGTGATTGAACATCAAAGCCCTGTTTAGGTCACCTAAATCCTCCTTTGATCTGCCCACAGGTTATTCCCAGTCTGAGATACTTTTGGTAATGTAGTTATCAAACCCAGGCTTTTAGACAATAAAAGGTCTGGCTTCTGGCATGTCTCAGTCATGCTTCCTACATGTGCAAAATGCTGCTCTGTATTGGAGTCTGGGAGTACAGTTCATGGTCAGATTTGCTTGTTCTCTTATATTCCTTCTGGCACTCAAACACACCTCAATGTACATGTTCTTTTAGCCCAGTTAATTTTTGTTTCTCTAAGAAGTCACAGGAAAAACTTATTTTAAAAATTACCTGAATGGCAGGGACCATATGAAATAATAGGACTCTCAGGTTTCTTACTGCAACCATCTCCCAGTTTTTCAAATGGACCATCTGTGGCTCCATCTCCACTTCCCATGCACAGCCCAAAGATTAGGCTACTAGTTGTCTCACAACAACCACTACACTTCTGTGTTTAAAAGCTCCATGGAAAGCAAAGCAGAGCACACATCCTGTGTGATCTCTGTGCCTTGATCATGGTTGAGCCAGCATTCTTGTGTCACTCTTGACAGCAATCTGCCTCCAGCAAGAAGAATGTGGTAAATCAAGTTGTAGCCTATCTGCATAGACCTGCATTGTATCGACGGATCTGTGTGCAATAGCAGCATAGTTAACACCGCTTTGAACATGGTGCATTTAAAAATTCTTCCCAGGATTCAGCATCACTGGCTTGTAAACTAGCCTTTGCCAAGTTGTCGTGCTTCGTATTGAGTCAGTTTAACAAGGGCCAATTTTATTCTGATTCTGCCTTTTCTTATTTTTAGAGTTAAGGTAGAATTGAATTTAATTTGCAATTCCTTAGAACTTTGCCCCCAAGATAAGAGACTGCTCCTACACTTGAGTGTGAGCCATCGCAATAGAATTTCAGTCCTCAGCTGCTTGTATACAACAGTCACTTCCATGTTAACCCAAGTCAGAGTTCACAAGGTTAAATAATAACTGAGCCACATCCCTAAGGTGCTAATTGTGCCCTTAAAGTCAGTAGGAAAACTCTGACTTCCCTGGGAACATGAGCAGGGACTGCCACTGCCCCTGTGAGCTTGTAAGCAACTGATATTCTCTTAAGAGAGAGAAGCCCCCAAAGTAAGATACTTCTACCTTACCTACAGCTGTGAAGTCAAAATGACAGCTCAGAAATAGATCTCTGGCCTGAGCTTTATGAAACACTATTCCTCATAACATACATAAGGTGTAAAGACCTTCATGCTCATTTGGCTACAATGGGTAGGTGGGTCCAGTGCATATCTTAGATCAGTGGTGCTCAACCTTTTGGCTTCTTAGGCCAGAAGAGTGGCACGGAGCCTGTCTGCAGGCAGGACCAGGCTATCTGGGCCAGATTGGGCCCTGGGGCACCACCCTCTCCCTGCTTTGCACACTGGGATGGGGTCCTGGCACTGCCCTCTCTCAGCTCCCCCCCGAGATTGGCCCCTGGGGCCCAGCACCACTCCTGCCTGGTCCTGTGTACTAGGGTTAGGTACAGGATTCAGTGTACAGGACCTGGGGCTCCCCACAGGTCTAGAGGTTTGACAGCGGGGAAACAGTGCCACCATGCTCCTGCTTCCAAATTTCTAAGCCTATAAGAAGCCTCACAGGCTATATTTGACCTGTGGGCCAGAGGTTGAGCACCCCTGGTTTAAATGATTAAGACCCAAAGTAGCCTAGCCCAGATATGAGGAGACACACTACAGAGTCTTATTTGAATGAGAGGTCCTTTGGTGCTGCACACATTCCTGTGTCATGACAACTTCTATGAGATATCCTATGTCTTTGTGCTGCAGGTAGCTGAGCCACTCCATAATCCTTTGCAAGTGAATTGTGGAAACACTTGCATGGCCTGTCCCAGGCACACAGGGAGGACATGAAGAAGGCACTGGAGGTCTTCTGGCACTTCAGTGATTT